GGGGCGGGGAGAGGTGGGGGTCAGGGCCAGCGGGTGGTGGGCACGGCTGGATGTGGGTGTGAGGCTGAGAGAGGCCTCAGGGACAGCGCTGAGGTTTCTGGGTTGCACAGGACGCAGGTCTGGTGGGGGTAGGGGAGGGGCTGCCTTTTCGTTTTATGTTTTTGGGGTTTTTTTTAATTGAGGTTAAATATATAGCAAAACATTTTAATCATTTCTAAGTGTACAGTTCGGGGGCGTCGAGCCTACTCGCAGTGTTATGACACCGTCGCCACCATCTATCTCTAAAACTTCTTTTTTGTCACCACAAGGAGAAACTTTGGGCCCATTAAGCAATGACTGCATTCCCCTCCCCTCCCGCCGCCCGGTAACCTCCTCTCCTGTCTCTGTGAACTTGGCTGCTGTAGAAACTTCGCGTGGGTGGAATCACACCGTGTCTGCCCTTTCGTGCCCGGCCTGTTGCCCTTCCCGTGTTTCCAAGGTCCGTCCGTGCAGCGCGTCTGGACGCCCTTATTTCCCGAGGCCGGGGCCCGCTGTGCGTAGAGGCCCCGCTTGGCCTGTTCCGCCCGCAGTGGGCCCGAGTCACTTTCCGCGACGGCTCACAGGCCGCGACGAGCGCCTGCGCACGTGTCAGTTTGAGCCCGTCTGCACCCACCACCCAGCTCCGCGGGTGCGGGGGTCCCGGCGCCTCCCCGTCCTGACCGACGCTTGCTACGCAGTCACGTGTGTGGTTATTTCGATCGCGGCCGCCCTGGTGGGGGCGACGTGGTATCTCACTGCGGTTTTGACCTACATGTGCCCGCTGGCCGCCGATGTTGGGCACCTTTGCACGGCTCCCTGGCCGCTCGCATCTCTTCTTTGTACATCAGTTTAATTCCTTTGCCTGTTTTTATGGGTCGCCTTTTTGTTGTTGGATTGTAGGAGCTCTTTATATATTCTGGGTATTAAACCCTTGGCGGTGATGCGATTTGCGAGTATTCCCTCGCCCCCTGTAGGTCGTCTTTTCACTTTCTCGACAACGTCCTTCGAGGTCTTCCCACATATAACGTGTTCTCTGTGCTGTGACGGGACAAACTGATTAATGTCTTGTGCCCCCGCCGTGTGGCGCCCCATCCAGTCCAACTTGCTCCCCTTCTGGGCCAGTCGCAGGGTCAGGAGCTGGAGCCACAGGGTAGCCGCAGACCTTCCTCTCAGGGGTTTACAGCCTGTGCCGGTTTGTGCTGTGACTTGAATGTGGAAGGTCCCTGACTCTGGCTGAGTAAGCGCTGTGTGCCGAGGCCAGTCCGTCCTGGGAGACCCGTCGCCTCATCCCCGAGCTGCTGACCTGGGGCTCAGCTGTCGCTTCCTTGAAAGCGCGCAGCAGGTCGGGTCTCTGTGAACCGCGCCCTGCACATCGGCCTCCCCCAGGGACTCGCTGCTCTTGCCGGAGCACAGGGCCCGGCGTGGCGGGGCCGGCCGGCCGGGCGGGTGGGTAGATGGAGGGAGACCGTCGCAAGCCCTTACGTGTGGCACATCCTTTAATACTCACTCAGTCTGTAGTATTATGAGCCCCTTTTGACAGAGGAGGGAACCGAGGCACAGAGAGAGCGCTGACGTGCCCGCGCTCACACGGCCAAGAGTGCCCGTCAACCACGCAGGCTGGGTGGGGCACGCCCGGCTGTGCCAGGGGGACCCTGACACTTAGACCAGAGGACACGCAGAGGAGGACTGGTACTGGGTCCCCGGAGCCACCCCCTGGTCCTTCCAACTCAGCGCCTGAGTCCACAGCTCTGGGAGGAGCAGACCTGGGGCGGGCCTGCCGCCGGAGCCCCAGCAGGTGGGTTCCGCGGGGCGTCAGTCACAGCCCAAGCCATCAGCACTGGCACACGCGTCATGTCGGGGTTTTCATGCTGTGTATTGAGGTGTTAAAAGCCTCCGACCCTCGGAAATCCGTGGCAATGCCCACGTGGCCATTGGGCAGCCAAAGGACTGGTTCCGAGCACTCAGCCCTCGGAAGGGCCTGCAACCAAGCCCAGGGGACACCTGCTGCCCTCTGGGCCTTTGACCGAGATCGGGCTGGGCTCCGGGTTCCCACACACTGCCTGCGCGGTTCTGGAACCTGCCCGCTGTTCCCGTGCCTGTCCCCTCACTGGTGCCTCCGCACGGGCCGTCTGTGTCCCCCCAGCTTAGTGGCCTCCCGGGCCCCGCAGGTGGGCTCACCGCCTCTCCCATTCCGCGCTCGCTCAGGGTCACCCACGGGGCTCGGGAAACCCTTCCCCAGTGTTTTTGCAACAGCTCCTGGGAGATAAACACACCGTCGTGTTTCATCTTTGGGCTCCATGAGAAAGACACGATTTTCGGTGAAGAACGGATATGGGTCTAGCGTAGAAAGGTTTCCAGCTCCTACATAGGAGGGTGGACGGATAGACGGACAGCAGGGAGGCAGACAGCGCTCCAGATAACG